GTACGGTTGATTTCTTATGCATTTTTGAATATTAAAAGTGTCACAATTTAATTGCCTATAAATACACACCTGATGACGTCATCATGACGTCATCATTACACAATGTTGTTTAAATTAGGGTCTTTGCTTAGACAAAGATTGGTGTAAATGAATTACTGGCAAAGAGTCAAAAATGCCCTTTGCAAATCGACAATTTTTTTTAAATTTCGGTGTACAAAGTCTATGGGAAAAATTAAATATTCAAAAATCTATAATAAATTAGTCGATGACGTCACCATGACGTCAATCTTCGGGATACATCTTTGATATAGGGACTATGCTTATGCTAACTTTGAATGATGTATGACAAAGATTAATGCCAAAAGTGGCGTTGAGAAAAAACGTGCACAAAGTCTATGGGATTTAGGCGACAAAAAGAAGAAGCCAAAAAAAAAAAAAAAATGAGAACAAAAACAAAGGCTTTTCCGCAACTTTGCGGAAAAGCCAAAAAAAATGAGAACAAAAACAAAGGCTTTTCCACACTTTGCGGAAAAGCCAAAAAATCCGGAAAAAATTAATACAAGAATAAAAAAAACTGAGCACTGATTTTTATTTTTAGTTTTTAACAATTTCCCTATCCAAAAGCAAATACAGGCCAATCTATTACTGTTGAGTTTTTTTTTTTAAATATAAAGTGCCTGGGTGAATAATAGTCAAAGGAGTGGAAATACGCAACAGAGTAGAGCTGAATGGGTCTCCATGGGTCTCCCGAAGCACTGGTGCCTTTTTAACACCAGCATTCTCTGATTTTAACCTCTCCCAACTGCACATTCTCAGTCTGTTCCAGACAGGGACTGCAGCGTTGATGAAAGTTGGCTGATTAACGACATACAAAAATGCACAATTGGACATTTTAACAAAACTAATTAATGAGCTGGCGAAATCCATCCCCCCGCAATTTGAAAACGTCGAAGGGAAGGACATTTGGTTATTTCAGCGTCATCAAATCACCTGAACACAGTGAAGAAGAAGAAAAAAAGATGAATCACAATATACCGATAACTTAGTTATGGTAAATTAATTACAAAAATACTTTAGAATTTCATGGCGAGTAGAATCCATATTATACTGAAGCAGGGATCACGACGGCAGCAGAGCTGAGCATGTAGTTCGTGAGCCCAACAGCCTGCACAGTAAACAGCCGCCGGCAACTCCAAAGATGGCTGGCGCGAAAAGGGTATTGCTGGTTTGGCTTCTAGCCAAAACAAGAGCATGGGAACTCATCTAGCACAAGACAGACAGGTAGATCGTCATGACGACGGAATGTCACCACCAATGCGATGCTGTGAATACGTTCCCGCCAAACTGGCAGGCAATAAGACCCGCCCTAACATCCCATGTATAGGTTGACTGGTGCAAGGCATAACCATAGTAACATTGTTGTCAAGGATATCTAGTGACGTGTGTCGGCTTCGTAAATGTTCATGATACAGTTTGTAAACTGCATGGTGGAAGTTGATTACTCGTCCTCTTCAGGTTATTGCTATTACATTTTCTTTCCAATTCTGTAACGAAATTTTCATATGTTCTTTTGGAGAAACGGGAAATGATTTATTCCATCCTAATTGGAGGCTTTTTAATATTCCTCTAAAATAACGGTTGATGTTTTAATTGCATTTGCGGTCATAACGCATAAAAGTGAATTATTTTTCGGCTCCAATATTTGGTCTGGGTGCAATAAAATAGAATTAATATTGAAACCTCCTTCTAAAGTGGATTTGTTTGATATTGCTATAAAAAAGGCATTTCAAAAAAGACGGAAGTATTTATTTTCGAGGAGAAACTCTGAGCTTGGCCGGGGGGATCGAGAGCAACTTGAAGTTGTTTTTAATTTGATAAACGTATTTAGGCCTGATGGATTCTTCACTAATTCTACATTACGAAAGAAAAATAGAAAGGACTACATGCAGATAACATCTCCAATAAATAAAATAGAATGCAGAAATCATAAGCCATGGATAGTACACTTTTCCGTATCACGACAATTGGTCTTAATTATATAAAAAAGAAGAAGTGCAATTCATGTACAAATAATTTAATTAGATCGTATTTTGAGGGAAAATGCTTCCTGACAATACATTTTTGCAGTCTTTGGAATTGATGAATACTGCAGGGTTAAAATATTGCCCAAGCCAGGGTCAAGAAACATGCGGTGTGGAATTTTCATTCCGATTTCACTTGTCAACATTTAACAAACGATGTGTCGGAAATTTGCCACCTATCAAAAAACAAATCTCAGGAAAATATTCGGGAACACAGCGCCTTGCTCCTAGCTGGTTTAATAACAAATACCGCCGATGCAACAAAGCCTGAATATTACTGGAGCACTGAACGGTAGCTGGTTACGCGAACTCCGCGTACGATAGGTTCGCGCGCACTTCGCGAACTCAGCGGCTGTAGCATATTAGCATAGTTTTAGCATAACAAAGGCGCATTGTCATGCAATGCAAATGACCTGGAGAGCTCGATGTTTACTCCTAACTTGGGATCAAAATTAGTTCGCGAACCTTCGCTGACCTCGCGAACAGTTAATTTTGAAGCCTGCCCTTACAGAGCAGAGTAATTGCTTGGTGGATTACAATACTTCCTTTGTGGGTTTTTTGTTTGATGGGGGGTGTTTGTTTTTGGGGTTCAGATAATTCTCAGAGGAGCCACAACTGTTTTGACAGGGATCATGATTCAGAAAACAACAGCCACTATGGGGTCGTTCAGTCACCGTTTTGAATTCCCATTAAAACACTGATTGAACTTGATTCAGTGTAACTTTCTTGCCAAAACGATGTCTGAACGCTTTTTTATTAAGACCGAATCGAGGACAACTCGAAGATAAAACGGCAACTTAAACCCCCTCGGAGGGAGGGTTTAGCAAATAACCAGAACGAGTTTATCTCTTAGTACGATGTCTGAACGATTTTAGCTAAAGCGCTGCCCGTTTTAGCCAGCGCAGTGACCCGGAGTTACTTAATGCCTTCTCCGTGGCGTGTTTTTCTATTAAGCAAACAATGTCCTAATTCTCCTACCATTAAAAAAATCCAATTTTAAGTCCAATTTCCGCAAGTTTTCAGACCACATGGTCCGGGTTTCACATCGTCCTCACTTGCACGTACTCGACTCACGATGCGATGACAAACATGTAGATGCCAACGCAACACCGCTAACCGGAGCATAATTATCATAATACACTAATATATTCAACTACCAGGAAAACCTTGGCGTTGATTGGTCAATATTGCAACGTTAATATCACGTGTATTTTCACATGACTGACATGTTGTGCGGGCAAGTTGATGCAGTAAACCTTGAGTGAAATCTGTTCAATGACGTCTTGTTTTGAACACTGGTTTTCTAACAACTTTTCAGAACTTTTTTTTTTTTTTTTTTTTGCACCACGAAAGGTACAGAAAACAGCCCCCAAAATGTAAACACAAATGGTGTATATATGTAAGGTCGATGTACAATACTTCCAAAAAATGGGGAAATCGCAGCAGTGGACAAGTGACTGTCGTCATATTTACCGGCGTGCCATGCTACATGACCGGCCGAGGCTGCGATGTCAAACACGGCATGGCAACACACATCACATGGTGAGTGGCTCAGACTACATGTAGCGAACTGTGAAAATTACTGGAACATATCTTTAATCACTTGTGTGAAACCCAACTCATAAACACCATGGAAGAAATCCATCGACACCTAGATCAAAATAACAAAGCTCAGATAGATGTGCAGGTGCTTGACTTCAGCAAAGCATTCGACACTGTAGCCCATGAGAGATTACTTCATAAAATAGAACACTACGGGACTAGAGGTAACACCTTGACATGGATCAGAACATGGTTAACCAACAGAACCCAACAAGTAGTTGTAGATGGAGAAACATCAGACCCTACATCAGGAGTCCCCCAGGGCACCGTACTAGGCCCTTTGATGTTTCTACTCTACATCAATGACAATGGTGACAACATTAGCAAAGACACCAAAATCAAGTTATTTGCTGATGACTGCCTACTATTCCGACGCATTGCTAACTTCAATGACCAACAACAACTCCAAAAAGATCTGGATAGCCTTGTGAGCTGGTCTCATCAATGGCAGATGTCATTTAAGCCACAGAAATGTCACACCCTACATATGACAAGAAGCAAAAATCATCATGATAATATCTACAGATTGATGAATGCCAACCTCTCTGTTGTACCAAACAATCCATACCTTTGAGTTGAAATTCAAAAAGATTTGTCATGGTCTCTTCACATCAATCAAATAGCAAGCAGAGCTAATACACCACTTGGTTTTGTGAGCCCATGCCTCCAACACCGCAGAACAGTCAGCAGGGTCACTATGCTTTACCGCTCCAACCATGAAGAAATTGCCCTTAACATCCCTTATTACATCACCCCAGTAGAACGGCCACAAAGAAATAGCCATAATCAGCCCTATGCTTCCTTGCAATGCCGCACACAAGCGTACCACAAAAGTTTGTTCTCAAAGATGATTGAAGACTGAAACGAGCTCCCAAATGATCTTATTCATCAAACATCATCATCCCAATTTAAGATAGCCCTAGGAAAACATCTTGCATCACAACCTTAATTTCACACTTGCACGGCACCAACGAGAAGTCAAACTGCATGATGATGCCTAGCGGCGATATCCAATCAACTTTCTGAAATTCTGTCATCACATTCTTAAATTTGTTAAAAAGTGTAATGTCACGATTCAACCATCCTTTTTAACCAGACTACCTCTCGAACTGAATTGACATTGCATGATTGGACATGGCGTCGCGTTATCGTCACCTGGGGGTACAAAGACTCAGGGTCAATAGAACAGAGGATCAAGCAGAGGATATGAACCAAAAACTTTTCAATTCATTCAAGGATAACTAAGGCTACACCATGGAACAAAAGAGGAATCAAACCAAGGTCAAAGCCCATGCAGAACATAAACTTGCTACTTACTTTATCATCAATGGTGTCAATCTTAGTCAGCACAACTCCGTCAATCAGTGGAGGTTGATCCATGTCTCAATGGTGTGCTCGATTGATTGCCTGGTCCACTGCTTCGTTACCACCCAAATAACTCCCCAACTAAGAGAACTAACTCAGACTGGTTGATTTCAATCAGCTGTTTGAGCAAAAATAACAAAACAGGAATAACAGTAATCATAAGGAAATGTTTCTACATTGGAAGCTACGGCAACAGTTGAAAATAAGTTACGAGTTGCAATACGACAGCTGTTTCTTGCAGCGTGTTCTTGAAAGCATGTTTGGCAATTAAACCGTGTAATTTGTGAATTTTTTTAAATTTCATTTCAACCAGCAAACTAGTGCTCAAAATCTAAACAAGGATGCTTAATAACTAACCTGATGAAGTTTTGGCTCTATGAATGCTCTATATTTTGAGAAAACTGAACAAACATAACCACAATATTCTGAATCTCAAATGCCAAAGTTGCCGAGTCATATTTTGAATGGCGCCCTCTCATGACACATTCCCCAAATCAGCATTGGGACATGATTCTCATTCAGCCGGTTTCACATATTTGTGGATTCTCCAACTGAAAACCAAGAACAACTGAACGGTTCACTGCCAAGTTAAGTTAGGAATATATGTCTATGTAGAACAAAGGTTCACGAAATTAACTCCCTTCCAGTACAATCAATGATTATGTTAAAAAATGTATCTTTAATAGTGTGATAAATTTCAGTAAACATTCTATGTGTGCAAAAAAGTTATTTCTGATTTGATGACATCATCAGTCAAAAGCGGTAAGTAAATACTAATAAAGTTCGGAGAGGATGCATTTTCATTGTGAAGTGAAAAAAACGTATGAAAATATAGGAAATATAACTGTTTGTATTAATAACACCTAACTTCCGGTTTGATGATGTCACAGCATTAGAGTTACCCAAACGTGAACATTGTAATGGATATCATTACTTGGACTACGAAGATATGACAGGGATGAAATGATAGAATTAAATTAAACATATGATCCTTTTCAAATTCTAAAATTAAAGAAAGCAAACTCTATTTAATGTGCCGCTAGGGGGCGCCCTTTCGGATGATGACGTCATCTCACTTTTTTGTGTCTGGTATTCCTCACTTTCATAATATGTGTGTAGTAAAATGCTTCCATTTTTGACTTGCATTCGGTGAAGGTCAAGCGGTTTTGTGTCTGAAACAAGAAATGTTTCTCACGGCATAGTCTACAACAAGTTCACACTAGGTTTCTGGATCATACTGTGACGAAAATGCCCCCAAATCCCACTTTTTACTTTAAGAGAAAATACAACATTTGCAAACATCAAAAAATAAAACTACCAAATCATTTTGAAATACCTTGCTGGACTGTTAGTGAATGACAGTGTAAAGCATCCTGTAAAATCATGGCACCTGGTATACTGTCATTTTCAAGAAAAGTGGTATTTTTGTATCAATTTCCAACGCTGGTCGGCCGACCAGCGTTGGAAAAAAACTGGCTTTTTTTCAAATACTGGCCCCAATTGACCATCGCACTTGTTTGCAATCGATTACACACCTATGAACGGGTACAAGCCAGCTAGACTGGTTCCCTGACCTAACAATTCCCCAATATATGTAAACTTCTCTGTTTCTTCTTATATGGAGTCAGGCAACCAGACTACAGGAAAATGATTGTTTTTCTTGGTTTTTATAGCATTTTCGAATCCAAAACCTCAAAAAAGTCAGTGTAACTATATTTGCTATAAATTTCCAACCCCCCAATTCCATCCATTTCTGAAAATTACAGCAAAAGCAAATGATGTATATTCCCTTTAAGTTTTATTACTCTAAATCTTACATATATCCTCCTAGAGATCTGGCATTTTTGTCTAGAAAATTCCTGTTGTCTTTTCAGGTATAATTTCTAGGTAGTTTTGAGTATTTTCCTGCCGAAATTCTGTGTGTACACTCACGTGTTTGTTTACACATGTCAGCTGTGCTATAAATAGCGTGATGGTAAAATCCAACATGGCTGCCATTTGAGCAGTGCTTAAAACGTTTCTGATTGGCTGAAAGTTCTAAAATTATTTCTAGCAAGCTGAGACTTCTAAAAAGTAATTTATATTATTAGAACGTTTTACTAAATAATTATGTAGCTTCTTTAGATGTGAAATTGTCTAATTTGAAGCAACTTTGAAAGTTGGGCAAGTTTTGATGACTTTTCTGTCAGATTTCGTCTGGTAAGTCACAGCCTCGACTCCATTGGCGCGTGCCCGTTCCTTCACTAACCCCTGGCCGTGATGTACACGTAAACGATGCTGACTGGCTATTCAGAGCGTACTGCGCGCACATTTCGAAGATTGATACATTTCATACAAATCTTTGCTAAATAACGCAATGTCCAAACCTTATGTTTGAAAGGATGGATTCTTTAAAATCACAATTTTGAACATTTTAAAGATGGCGTCAGCACCTAAAACGGTTAAACTTCTGCCTAATTTTGTGCCATATTTCGATACATCTGGGGCGTTTTCGAATCCCTGTTCTTGACAACACGCGTGTAACACGAGAACGTATTCTCGAGCTGGTTGTTACGAACGCGCGGGTGCGTGTCGCATCGATATAAAGCAATGCAAAATGGCCGACAATCGTCTGAATTTGTTCTTAGGCCTATTCCAAATGAACGAGGACGACTGTTGCAAAACCGGACATGCGGGGATGAAATTGCAGACCTGCACTATAATGGTATTCTTATTCCAATCATTAGGGTATTAGCAAAAAAAAACCCACACAAAACAATTTACGAATCTGCACAGTCCGCCATTTTGTTCAAGCTGCACCTCGCCGAACCCTCCATCAACCGGGGAGTGAAAAAATCGATCCGCGAACGCCCTCTGGGGTCTGTTCGTCACGTTCGAGACCGCTGTTCTCGTGTCGGGTTAACCCGAGTGTTGTCAAGAACAGGGATTCGAAAACGCTCCGAAATTACACAATTCCCGGGGTTAAGATCGCGCAAGGCATGATGGGAAGCAACATGGCGCAGCAAGATCTCGTACCCATGGGAACAAGGTTGGGTAAGTCAGTGACTGTCTCATGATTATTCATATCTGTGACATCACTGAATTTTCTTCAATGAACTTAAGGTTTGTTTACATTCATTCACTACTTGTAAAAGTGAGCATTTGGGGGATTCTGTATAATTTATTCACATTTTTACAACAGATTTACTGTAAGGAATGTCTTGAAGATTAATTTAAGCCTTTTTGTGTGATATTTTGCTGTATAATTTTGGAGAAATTTAGGGGAAACTATCGCTGTGTGAATTCAGTATACTATGATTTTTACAAAATGGGCGTGGCCTATTTACTAGCGCGTACTTTTGATTTTCGCGCTGGCCAGTAGGGTATAAATAGGGCAGGTTTTGTTCATTCTGGGTACGGTTCTTTGATGGGTGTTGGTCTACTGCTAGCTGCGAACTCTACTGCTGATCTCTAACTGTAGTTACACATAGTGCTTTGGCCAGTTTGGGGAGCTGAGATACTTGGAGAATATGTCATCTTTACAACTTGAGTTGGGGGAGCCAACTTGATGAAATTGGGGAGCTGAGCTGAGCAGGGGAGCAAAGTTTTGGGGAGCAAAGTTGTAGGGAGAAAAACTTTGGGGAGCCAGAGTCGCAGAGCGGATATCTACACAGTTAGTAACTGTGATTTACATTAGTTGTAGCTGATATCTTTAATTATTAAGACTCTGACAGGAGTCAGGGGTCTTGAGATCAGGCTGGAGTCAGGCTGCTGAGTCGGATTTCATCGAGGAATATCAAGAGAGGCCTGGGGCCTAAGTGTATTTTGTTGAGAAGATTTTATTGCCTGACCACTCAATAAGAGCACATTTGGGGGGGGGGGGGATCACAGAAATTTAAAAAAATGTATCACTTGCAAATGTTTGCAAATTGATAGAATGCGAGAAGGTTGTCACCCATTTGTGCATTCCCAAATTGCAAACCAAGTGCAATTAGAGTGCATGGGGAGGGGGGGGGGGGGGATTTACAGAAATTTCCAAAAATGTGTCACATGACACATCTTTGGAAATGATCTTTTCTTTTCTTCAAATTGACAGCATGCCAGAAACTTGTCAACCATTCGTGGATAACAAACTAAATACAAAAATTAGAACATATGGCGGGATTTACAGAAATTTCCATTGACACAATGGGGAAGGGGGCCAGATTCACAGAATTTCCCTTAATAACTCCTATGAACATCTATGGAAAATAACAGCATGCAAGGTTTGGACCCATTCGTGGATTCCCCAATAAGCCATTTGCAAGTGACCTATACCCTGACTTGCTCAGAATGCTTGGCACATTTTAACTATGAATTCTGCAGACCAAGGACACTGTTGCTAATCACATGATTCGGGGCAAGCTCTTGCATAGTTACGTTAGAGACGCTCAGCACCAATACATATAGTTCACAATGGGTAATAATGGCACAAAGACACCAGACCATTCCGGAGCTGGGGGTTGCTAGCTTAGGCTTGCCCCAAATCACATGTTATAGTAACAGTCTCTTTGGTCGGGAGAATGCGAATTTAACACGTGCAAAGCATTGGATTAAGTCAGCGTTCCAGATTTTATTCAAATTTAACTCGCAAATGGCTTATTGCAAACCAAGTACAAATTAGAAGCATGGGGGAGGAGCCAATTCACAGACATTTTCAAAAATGTGTCACTTGACAAATCTTTGGAAATGTTTTTCTTTTGTATTCTTCAAATTGAGAGCATGGCAGAAAGTTGTCAACCATTCGAGGATTCCCCAATTGCAAACTAAGTACAAATTGGAACGCATTCAGCAGGTGGCAGATTCACAGAAATTTCCAAAAATGTGTCACTTGACACATCTTTGGAAAGGATCTTATTTTGTTTTCTGCAAATTGACCACATGCCAGAAGGTTGTCAACCATTCGTGAATTAAGTACAAATTAGAACACATAGGGGAGTAGGAGGATTCACAGAAATTTCCAAAAATGTGTCACTTGACACACGTTTGGAAACTGATAGCATGTGACAAGGTTGTCACTCATTTGTAAATCCCCCGAATGCAAACCGAGTACAAATTAGAGCACATGGGGGGATTAACAGAAATTTCCAAAAATGTGTC